AGGCGCATGCCACCACGCCCAGCTAATTCTTGTATTTTTAGTAGAGACAGGTTTTCACCTTGTTGTCCAGGCTGGTCTAGAACTCCTGACCTCAGGTGATCCACCTGTATGAGCCTCCCAAAGTGCTGGGATTACAGGCATGAGCCACCGTTCTGGGCCCTTTAAGTCATTTCTAAAAGAATTATGTTCACTTTTTGTTCCATGGTTTACAAAATTGCAATTACACTATTTTCTAAATGGTTTTCATATAAGAACAAGTATTTCCCACACCTTTAAATTGTATTTGGGCTGATTTTTAATACCTTTTTTGATTGAAATTCCGTCCTTAGCGTAAAAGGTTAAAAATTATGAATTAAGGCTGGGCGCGGGGGTTCACGCCTGTAATCCCAGCACTTTGGGAGGCCGAAGCCGGCGGATCACGAGGTCAGGAGTTCGAGACCAGCCTGGCCAACATGGTGAGACCCCCCGTCTCTACTAAAAATACAAAAATTAGCCAGGCGTGGTGGCGGCCACCTGTAATCCCAGATACTCGGGAGGCTGAGGCAGGAGAATCGCTTGAAACCGGAAGGCAGAGGTTGCAGTGAGCCAAGATCGCGCCACTGCACTCTAGCCTGGGCAACAAGAGCGAAACCCCGTCTCAAAAAAAAAAAAAAATTATGAATAAAAATAATACCCTCACCATCTCCATCTTCCGCTATATGACCTGAGCTCAGAAAACAATAGTAAACCATTCACATTGGGTGTGTGTGATAAATACCCAGAGAAGTGTGGGGCCCAATAAGATTCTAATCTTAAAAGATACGATGCGTTAATAGCGACATTTCAAGCACTATCCTGTAGACTGGAGGAGACAAATCTAAAATTCATAGTACTATAGTTAGCTATTCTAGCTAGAAGAATTCCCCACTGTGTTTTTCAATAAAAGTAGAGCAGAACAGTACACATCTCATCACTCAACAAAATACCTTACTTGGCGCTCCCAATAGTGCTAAACATAACGCGTACAAGGCACTGCATGAGGCAGCTGCTAATGAGGACAAATCGGTTAGGAAGACCAAAGCTAAAGGAGGCCAGTGAGTTGGAGAAGGGTATGGAGACGTATTTGATCATCATCAGGCTGGCGTGCCAGCGGAAGTAGCCGGGCATTATTTAATATTTAATCTTTCTATTTCTGACATCACGGGGGCTCAAACGTCATCAAAAGACAGGCTGGCATTAAACCCGGCAGGGTGACGCACATAACATCTTACCATATGGATTTTCGTCAGTCCAGACCGACCAGCACCTCAGAGCCTGCCCAGTGAAGGAAGCAGGGTGCCCCAGGCCGTCCGCTCTCCCACTGTTGGCGCGCAGCTCAGTATAGCACACGGAGTTTGGAGGCTGCAAGACCACCGGACCGGATGCCCCAGGGGCCAGCTCGAGCCTCCGGGACTGCGGCCTCGCGCACGGCCCGAGGAGGTCGCCCGTGCGGCCGCTGACGCCAGGCGTCAAGTCCCCGCCCGAGCAGCCCCAGCCTAGGAGGCGGACCACGCCACTGCTCCTCTACTGAGCCGAGGGTGTCGGCCAGGGACTCAGACAGTCGGCACAAACCCCCTCCCGGGGTCTAAGCCCGCCTAGTACAGTACCTGAAGGGGCAACGCCACCTCCGCCCAATTGTGCTGGCTGCCCCAGTGGCGGCGGTCACAGCTCGGGCGCCAGTGACGCCTCTTATAAAAACAACAACCTGCTCGCAGGCGTCTGCAGCCCACAGGCGGTGACCGGCTGGGGGCCGCAGTGCATGCCGTGACGCGTAGTCCCGCTTGCGCCTCCTGCCAGGCACCGGTGAAGAGAAGAACTACCACTCCCGAAGAGGAGCGCAGGGCGCCGCCGGGCGGCTACAGGAAGCTGGGCCGGGCGGCCGCAGATCCCCACAACATCCGGGAGCCGGCGACCACTTCCAGTTGCTATGGATACGAGTTGCAACCTCCAGAAAGGATTCGTGGTTTCACCGGGAAAACAACTCCCCGGATTAAACGGATAGGTTTACACATACTGATCCACCCAGCTATTCATCTTCTATTTGCTGCTTTAATTGGGTGCGGTTAAAACGCCACGTCCCTAGGCGTTCACCGGCTTTCTTGCCATCTACTGCATGCAAACTGACTTTGCCGAAAAAATTAACAAAGAAAATAGCGAAAATGACAGACCGCGACTGGGTGAGTTTAGGCAGAGGGATAGATGTTTGGGAATGTTGGTATTCCTTGGTATAATTTGAGGCACCACCTACTCCTACCAATCCCAGCCCCACAACCCCGAAAAACACTTTACAAGGCAGCTACTGAGCTTTTACATTTACACATGTAAATGTACGTTTCCTTAAATCCGAATAGCCTCTAAAGGTGTAAAGACCATCGGGATTGTATGCACTCATACCCTACTGCAAACTGTTAGTGATGGTTTTGAACAAGAAAAACATACTTTGTTAATTGTATACTTAAATTGTACTTTGTCAAAGAAGGGAGTTGTTTTAAAAAAGGATATGGTGACCGGGCGCGGGGCTCACGCCTGCAATCCCAGGGATTTGGGAGGCCGAGGCGGGTGGATCACCTGAGGTCAGGAGTTCGAGACCAGCCGGACCTACATGATGAAACTCCGTCTCTACTAAATACAAAAAATTAGTCGGGAGAGATGGCGCGCGCCTGTAATCCTAGCTACTTGGGAGGCTGAGGCAGGAGAATCGCTTGAACCTGGGAGGCAGAGGTTGCAGTGAGACGAGATTGCGCCACTGAACTGCAGCCAGGGCAACAAGAGCGAAAGATATCTTACATTTATATTCACTCTTTACAGAAGCAATGAAAAGTTTAGGTTTCATTCTCTGTCCCCTAACTGTGGTAAAAGTAAATCAATAAATGAAAAAATAAATAACAAACGTAAACATTAGCAAGGAAGATGGTGGGCCTGAGCAGAGACAAAAGAGTGCCTCAAAATTAGACCTTTTTTATTTTTGCTTTTCTATTAACTATATTTAACATCAACAGTGACATCAAAAAAATCTTAATTTTATAGTTACAGCTTCTGCGATGGGCATTATTAACTAATGACTTGTTTTCATTTATCTTTTTAAGTATATATTTATCTATACCGAAGGACTTCAAAAAGTCAAGGTGGTCTGGCTTTCTCTAACTTTAACTGAAAATTAAATTACTAAGAAAGCTAATACCAGCTACTGGTAGATTTTTATACCTTTCAAGCCACTTTCACAGGCCAATTTTAAGATGTAATTTCTTCTGAAAAATCATTTACAATTTTAACCTTTTTATCATTTAATAAAAGTTGTTGACATATGTGGCAGATAATTTAAACTCATCCTTTTATTATTCTTTGTATTGGCTGTTTGTTTCGTTCTTAATTGTAGTCAGTTTGAACTCCACATTTTAAGAATATCAGGTTTGAAGAAGGTGAAACCCAAATAAGAAAACTGCAGTGGTTGTCTGTGATGTAAAGTATAAAGCAATGGGCCTTTTGTTTCAGAATCTATAAACATTTGTGAATTATCCTGGAAATCTAAAAAAATTTTAATTTAGGATTTAACTTTTCCAGATTTTGCGGTACTAATTATGCCAACAAAGTTTATCAGCTAATTTGTCTTCTGTTTTGACTAGATTTCATTTTCTGCATTATGTTTTGAGCCAAAGCTGATCGGAATTCTAGAACCAGTAGTTAAGGAAGGTCATTTGATGACAAAAAGAGTTCTCAGCTGGGCACTGTGGCTCACGCCTATAATCCCAGCATTTAGGACCCAGTATTTTGGGAGGCCAATGCAGGCGAATCACCTGAGGACAGGAGTTCGAGACCAGCCTGACCAACATGCAGAAACCCCATCTCTACTAAACATACAAAATTAGCTGGGTGTGGTGACGCATGCCTATAATCCCAGCTACCTGGGAGGCTGAGGCAAGAGAATCACTTGAACCGGGGAGGTGGAGGTTGCAGTGAGCCAAGATCATGCCATTGCACTCCAGCCTAGGCAACAAGAGTGAAACTCCATCTCAAAAAAAAAAAAAAGTTCTCAGTGACTGAAGGAGATAGTATTAATAACAACAACAAATCTACAAGTTGCCCTGGGCAACCTGCTTAGGTGCCCATAAAAGTAAATTACAGTGGTACTTTTCCCCACAAGTCACAGGGCCGCCACCTTCTACCTATAAAGCTTTCCCCTGTGCTGAGGAAACCTAGAAAATTGGAGAAAAGCTGATCAGTTGAGATACCATCAAAATTTTATGATTCTTATGATTTACTATTATCCAGTATCTGTGTTGTTAATATTTAAAACAAATTAATAAGCAGTATCAAAAAGAATAAACAGCAAGATCTGATGAGAATAACATTGATGACGCTTAGTGAACCTGAGTTCTATTTCCAGCTTTGCCAACTACAAACTTATGAGTATTAAGTGAATATTAGCAAACCATATTTGCTAATATAAGGTGTTATTAACCTGTAAATTTCAGAACTGATTCTGGAAAATCATACATTGAGGTAAACCTGCAAAAAAGAAAATAATAAAATCTGGTGAGGCCTGGTGGCTCATGACTGCAGTCCCAGCACTTTGGAAAGCCGAGGCAGGCAGATCATCTGAGGTTAGGAGTTCAAGAACAGCCTGACCAACATGGTGAAACCCCATTTCTACTAAAAACACAAAAATTAGCCAGGTGTGTTAGCAGGCACCTGTAGTCCCAGCTACTCTGGAGGCTGAGGCAGGGGAATCACTTGAACCTGGGACACAGAGGTTACAATGAGCTGAGACTACACCACTGCACTCCAGCCTAGGCGACAGAGCAAAACTCCATCTCAAAAAATAAAGTAAAATAGTGATAAAAATTGATTTCATTTGGCCAGGTGCGGTGGCTCAAACCTGTAATCCCAACATTTTGGGAAAAGCCGAGGCAGGTGGATCACTTGGTCAGGAGTCCAAGACCAGCCTGGCCATCATGGTGAAACCCCATCTCTACTAAAAATACAAAAATTAGGCTGGGCGGTAGTTCACACTTGTAATTCCAGCACTTTGGGAGGCTGAGGCGGGTGGATCACCTGAGGTTGGGAGTTCAAGACCAGCCTGACTAACATGGAGAAACCCCATCTCTACTAAAAATACAAAATTAGCTGGGCGTGGTGGTACATGCCTGTAATCCCAGCTACTTGGGAGGCTGAGGCAGGAGAATTGCTTGAACCCGGGAGGCGGAGGTTGCAGTGAGCCAAGATTGCACCATTGCAGTCCAGCCTGGATGACAGAGCGAGACTCTGTCTCAAAAAAGAAACACACAAAACAAAACAAACAAATCTGCTCCATCTCCATGCTACCACCTACTATATATTGTCATCATTACTCACATGGACTATTGCAGCTCCTCACCACATTCACACAGGCCCTAACAACAGCCAAAGTAATTTTACTAGAATTATATTACATCATGTCACACCTCTCCTTAAAACCCTTCAATAGCTTTCCATTGCTTTTACAATAAAGGTTCAGATTTTAAACACAGTCAACAAAACCCTGAGAGATCTGACCCCTGGCTCTCTATTCTGATCTCATGACATTTTCACCCTAATTTATTTGACTTGCCATACTTTGTCCCCACCTCTTTTACTTCCTTGCCTTGTAGTCAATCTTAGATTGAATGGTACTTCAGTGGCATGGCTTTCCCTAACCCCCAGCACTAGATTAGAACCCCCATTGTGTCTTCATTAATATGCTGTATTTTTTTTCTTCATAGCAGTTATCACAATTGTAATTATTCAGTTAGCTGTGTAATTAGTTGCTTAATGGCTGCCCACATACCCAGGCTAACCCTGGATGTTTATCTTGTTCCTTTTTCACTCTAAAATAAAGCTGTACTTCCTCTTCTAACTATGACTTTTCAGATTTTCCCTATGATTTACAGACTTTTCAATAAATTCTCATAGTTGTAGTACAGAATGTTTAAAAAGCTACCTTATGCATATTTTTGACAAGTTCACTCTGTGTACAGGTGTATGTGATTTTAAGGGTAGCCTTCAATGTCAAGAGAAGAGACCACCAAACAGGCTTTGTGTGAGCAATAAAGCTTTTTAATCACCTGGGTGCAGGCGGGCTGAGTCCGCGATGGGAGATGGGGGTGGGGCCGTTTTATAGGATTTGGGTTGGTAATGGAAAATTACAGTCAAAGGGGGTTATTCTCTGGCGGGCAGGGGTGGGGGTCACAAGGTGCTCAGTGGGGGAGGTTCTGAGCCAGGAGAGTGAATTTCACAAGGTAATGTCATCAGTTAAGGCAGGAACCGGCCATTTTCACTTCTTTTGTGATTCTTCACTTGCTTCAGGCCATTTTCACTTCTTTTGTGATTCTTCACTTGCTTCAGGCCATTTTCACTTCTTTTGTGGTTCTTCACTTGCTTCAGGCCATGTGGATGTATACGTGCAGGTCACAGGGGATATGATGGCTTAGCTTGGACTCAGAGGCCTGACATTCAATCCCCTCAAGAGAACAGAATTTCTAAAAAAGGGAAGTGGGTGGGACTGAATTTTATTTTTTTCAGAACTTTAAAATGGAGAATGATTTTATGTCTTTGTTTTTTAGGACAAGAAAAGTACTTCACTTTCAAATTCAGACACAGAAATGAAATCTGAACAACTGCCTCCTTGTGTGAACCCTGGCAATCCTGTGTTTTCATGTATGTTGGATCCGAAGACACTCCAGACAGCCACCTCACTATCAAAACCTCAGATGATTATGTATAAAACCAATTCAAGTCATTATGGTGAATTTCTACCTATGCCACAGTTTTTCCCCTGCAAATATACTCCAAAGGAGCAAGTATTTTCAAGCCATATCAGAGCAACTGGATTTTATCAAAATAACACTCTAAATACTGCACCTGACAGAACCAGAACTCTTGATT